ATATTTTATATTTCTGTATCATTTTTTTAATTTTAATTTTGGAGGGGTTGGTGTGATGCTGATGGTAGTGTTCTCGAATGTTCTGTGCTGCGGGCGTTCTAGGATAAGTACCGTAACTATTTATAACTTGTAATATTCTAGTATACAAAGTACAAAAATAATATATACAAACACGTTTTGACTGCACACCATTAAATAAATGGATCTGACTTCTACAGTCAGTATGGAGAAAAAATATTATAGGAATATATATAGAACACATTTCACTCTTGGCTATAAGTGCAGAACAATTTGATGCAGATTGCAAGTTTGCGATGAAATCACAATATATATATATATATATATATATATATATATATATATATATATATATATATATATATATATATATATATATATATATATATACTTGGCAAACGAAATCAAATCATCTAGAACAATCTAATAACCAGTCTATAGGAAATATGCAAACCTTCCACTCTGTAGATTTCCATAAAACCCAAACACAAAACAACGAACGCATTAATAAGCATATAAAGCCAAGTTACTTAAAGAATTCCATTCGTAAAGAGAAGACCTTAAAAGAAAAAAAAAAAGAAAATGATAACAAAATATCAAACTGACATCCCTAAACCGGCGTGACGTCACTCCGAAACAAACACACGAACACAGTTGATGAATCTGGTGGGAAGGACATAGTTCATTCACAAGCTGGGAATATATACACACACGAAACACAAGAATGACGAAAAAAAACATCATCATAATAATGATAATATACACACGTTAACTGTTGAGAAGTTCGCTCAGTCAACACAAATTTACAAAGACAACAGCATATAAATCTTATAATTAATCGAGACAAACAGATCTGTCAACACAAAAATGTCTGTTTACAAAATAAAAAAGGATACAAATAATAATAATGATTATAATAGTCCAAATAATCATATCAATAATACCTGTAATATAGTAATATAATCATGTACTGTATTACAAGTGTATTTAAAGTTTTGTGCAAGGCAAGACTAGAGAAAATACGTAAGGAGAAATACAGAAAATACGCTACTATATACAAACTTTTTTTTTGACTGGAGGATGCACCGTCCACTAACAATAGGCCTATCTTACGTACAAATGAAAAAAAAAATAATATTAACAACAAGAAGCACTAATTATAATAATAATAATAATAAAAATGTGATATTTCTTTTATGTCTCTCATTATCAAAAGTAATGCTTCTTACACACAATGGATAAAGACACTGTAGAAAAATAACCGCATATTATCTGTCTACATTCGCAAATTATATCAGAGATGTTTATCAGCTTTGGCAGTTCTCAAGTTCACACGAGAGAAAGAACACAAACACATTTCCACATCAGAAAAATAAGTTTCTATAATATATACATAGGTCACTTGGAGGTATGGTCGCCTGGACGCCCCTTCGCCTCAAAGCCAAGGGGGTTTACTTACACTAAAATCCTAAATAATGCATAGCCAAATAGATTATGAACAAAGACATCTAAAAAAAAAAAAAATGCAGTAGCATCACTTAAAAAAAAAATCGAAAATCGTAGAATTTAATTTCCTTTTCTCTCGACCTCGATATATACGAGATGAAAGAGAAGGAGAGAAAAGGGAAAGGAGGAGGAGAAGAATAAGTAACCACGTTCTTTCAGCTTACTTTCCCCCTCCCCCCCTAAACCTTCAAAAAAAAAACAAAAAAAACACCACCACAGACACGTAACTTATATTCTCAAACTTCGAACTTAATTTTTAAAAGAAAGAGAGAATTTTCCTCTCTACTTTTTAATCTAACTATGATAGAAAGCGTAAACGTTTCACAGAAGAAAGGAATGAAAAGAGGTACAGGCAATGAAGGGAGGAAGGAGAAATGGGGGGAGGGGTATGGAGGGGGGGAGGGGGAGAGGGGCACGGACAATGGTGGGGGGTTGGGGTAGATTTCCTCAACATCTGCCCTGCCCGATGAGACACTTCCTGGGGCCTTCCTCAGCTGTCCTGCCCTTCTGCCTGAGCCTAGCGCGGGGGAAGGGGGAGGGAGGGAGGGAGGGGGGGCTGGTGCGGAGGGGAGCGGGCACAGGGACTATAACAGAGGGTCGACGACAACAATAATCTAGAGGGAAGAAAAATATGAAGAGGGAGTGATTGATCGACGAGGAACGAAGGAGAGAGAAAGAGAAAGAAAATACGGGAGAGAGAGATAAGTAGACAGAGCGAGGAGACGACAAAGGAGGAGGACCCTTACAGACAGCCGCGGCGATAAACCCACGACTCAGGAAGGGGAGGGAAAGCCACGGTATGCAGATGAAGCTGAAACGAGCATTTCTCCCAAGGAATTTCCCAAAACAAGCTTTGACCTGGCCGCGACCTCTGACCTCGGCTCCGACCCCCCAACCCTCGCCTTGCTTATCGCCGTCGGTAATGCGAACTGCAGGAGGTCACCGCGGTAATCCCCGAGTCACCTCGAGCTTATCTCGGCTTATCTCTCGCCCATCAACGTGTTGTTACCGACCGCGAGGAGAGAGACAGAGAGGGAAAGGGTGGGGGGAAGAGAGAGGGAGAGAGGAAGAGAGGGAGAGAGTTAATTATTATTCACAGCTCTTCCATCTTGCGGCCTCGGCGGGAGAGACAGAAAAAGGGGGGAAGGGGAGGGAAAGAGGGATAACGAGGGGGGGAGGGGAGAGAGAGAGAAAAGGGGAAGGGGGAGAGAGAGTGAGGAAAGGGGGGGAGGGAAGGGGAGGTTTCCTGTATGTCTACATGTTCCCGTTTGTTCTTGTCTTCCCTCTCCTATGAACAACGGTTATGTTATAATTTCTACCTCCATCCTGCCCGGTTATACCTTCAAACAACCAGATGATACGATATAGTTTGATCATCACAGTCGTCGCTGTTATCGTTATCAACATCACCATCGAGTCTGCTTCCTGTATTACCCGCTTTTCTCTCTCTCTCTCTCTCTCTCTCTCTCTCTCTCTCTCTCTCTCTCTCTCCCTCCCTCCCTCCCTCTCTCCCTCTCTCCCTCTCTCTCTCTCTCTCTCTCTCTCTCTCTCTCTCACTCTCTCTCTCGTTATAGTTGCACCAACTGAACTTCCTGTCCGGTATTTTAGAGTCGATTTGGCGGAAGAGTGCTGCAAGGTCGCCGGTTATCTGGCTCGCAGTTCCGTTTCGATGTTTAAACAAAGTCCGGATATTGAGAGAGGGAGAGGGAGAAGAGAGGGAGAGGGAGAAGAGAGGAAGAAGAGAGGGAGAGGGAGAAGAGAGGGAGAGGGAGAAGAGAGGGGGAGGGACATGGAGAAGAGAGGGAGAGGGACAGGGAGAAGAGAGGAGGAGGGAAAGGGTGAAGAGAGGGAGAGGGAGAAAAATAAATAGATAGATAGAGATAGACAAACAGACAGATACATAGTAAGCATCTCACAAGATACCTCCTAGCAAGAATATCCTCCCAGTAAAAAGAAAAAAATATAGATAACACACACACACACACACACACAAATAAATCCTCGTCCATTAACAATACATGGAAGTTGACAGGAGGTTCCCGAGCGAGCATCCAGCGTGAACATCCGTGACATTATTAACAATCACAACAATCACAACAACAACAGCAACAACAACAACAGGAGTCACGGACGGATCCTGTTGTTGGTACATGAAGAGTCGTGCCGGAAGGGCGACCCCAGGCGACGCCATGCTCGAGGTCGTCCCTGGAGGGTAGGGGGGGAGGAGGAGGAAGAGGAGGAGGAGGAGAAGGAGGATGGGAAGGAAGGAGGAAGAGGAGGAGGTTGCAAGGGTGGTGAAGGAGGAGGAGGAGGTGGAGGTGCATGAGGAGAGGTGGGAAAAAAGAGGAAAACAGGATGGAGGGGGGGAGGAGGGGGAGATAGCAGCGACGGAGGAGCCGGAGGCGGCGCCGTCGGTACTGTGCCTGCGCAGGGCTGTCGCCACCGCCGCCGCCGCCGCCGCCGCCGCCGCTATCGTCATTATCTGCGCCGCGTCCTGTGCATCCTATTGATGACGCTTGTTGCGGGGGGAGAGAGAAGCGGTGGGAGAGGGAGAGGGGGAAGGAGGGGAGGGGATGGAGGAGAAGTGGGAGAGGGGAAGGAGGGAGAAGGGAGAGGGAAAGGGGAGACGGGAGAGAGGAGAGGGGAAGAGAAAGGGAGAGGGGAAGGGGAGAAGGGAAAGGAGAGGGGGGGAGAGGAGAGGGGAGAGGGAAGACGCCGAGGGAAAAAGGAACTTGGGTGTCAGATTCAGAGGAGTTCAGGAGGCCGTAAGTAGACGAGGACGCTTCTAGGCAAAGAAAATCATTATCGGATACGCGAATTACGCATCAGAGCGTCACTAATCATACGCGCGTAATCCAATATCCTATACGCATCCCGAATACGCAATATACACCATAAAAAATAGAAATATATATATATAAATTGTTCTCAGCTAACAAGGCACTGCATGAGACTTCCCCAGAGGCACTAAATCATCTCCTGGTAAATGTTAACAATCCTAAGCGGCCGACACAATGGACACGAATCAGGAGGCGGTTCTGGGGAGAGCTCGGCGCAAGGGGAGGGTGAGGATGAGAAGCGGTCAGCTGTTATCCCGACAGATCAGCTGTTTCCGGTGAAGTCAGGGCAGCTGTCCCGCACGTGGTCAAAGCAGTGGCAACGACGGTGTTCGCGGTGGGGGTTGGGGCACGGGGATAGGGTGGGGAGGGGTGGGGTAAGTGTCATCCGGGTATCGTCGTTTAGGTCCCCCAGCCCTTATCATCTACCCCCCCCCCCCCACCTCGCCCCTGACTTACCTGCCCGGGTTTCTTACCTGGGCGAGGAAAACGGGCAATGCGGGCGGGACGGGGAGGGGGGACTCAAGCATCTTTCGGCGGGAGTCTGCGGATGCTGGCGGGAGACGCGAGATTCGGGGCAGATTGTCTTTTTTATTTCCTCTCCTCTGGGGAACCGCTCTGCCATGTCGCCATATTTCCGTACATTTAATTGGCAACGTGGAAACGAAGCTAAACAGGGCATCAGTGGAACAGGAAATACTCCGAGCGAAAACGCACCAGTTGTCCCTTCAGTGCATGGTTTCTGTTGTTGTTGTCCTTGTTTGTTGTTGTTAGTTATTGCGTCGGTGTCGGTGCTGTTGGGCCGGTTATCAGCGTGGGCGGAAGTGACAGTTGACCGCTGAGGGCGTGTCTTCCCCTGGGCGGCATTGATTCTGTATCGGCGAGCTTGCCAGGATGTCCGTCCGCTGCCTGGCCCCTCCCCTCCCTTCCCCCTCCTCCCCCCTACTCGGCAGCTGGAGGGGGCGGGGGGGGGGTAGTGGCAGCAGCAGTAGTCGTAGTATACGTAGCGGAGGGGAGGGCGAGGGGAGAGCCGAGGAGGGCTGGTCACGTGTTGACAGACTAACACAGGGGCGGTGTTGGCTTTCCGGCGGCCGAGGGGAGGCGGAGGGGCGGATATGAGGCGGTGTCGTCTTGCAGGCGGAGGAAGGGGGAGTGTCTAGGCCGAGGTCCGTTGGCGGCCGGACGGGCGAGGTCACGTCAGGTGGACCGGGGAAGGGCCGTGTTTGCCGAGGGCTCTGAGGTGCGTCCGGAGGCAAAGGCGATTCCATGCATCCCTCCGAAAGTCATGACTGCTTGACTGGCAGACGATTTTTGTTTCTTTTCACAGCGATACTGACTCTCCCAGTCTGAGCGTCTGCAGGACCGTCTCCTAGGCGACGGGACTCAGAGGCAGGCCGAGGGGACACTTGGGGCGCGAGGCGAGGGTCCGCGCGAGGGGATGTTCGGTGGACGGAAATGCGTGGGCTCCCCTCGGCGCGCCGGCGGGACCAGGAAGTGCCTGTACCGGTTTCCTGTTTGGTGGTCGATGCGGGGGGCCGTGGCAGGGGGGAGGGGGTCGTCGTCAAAGGGGGAGGGGGTCGAGGTAATGAAAACTCCCTTTCTCCGCCCCTTCGCAACCCTAGCCTACGTGTCCGACTGACCACGCTGTTTACCGAGAGGAAACTAACTATCCTTCGCGTTTCTTTGTCGGCGAGTATCCAAAGGGGTTAAGTGTAGTGGTCGGGCCTCCGTCGCCTCGCTTCGCACCTGGGACAAAGGGGGCGTGAGGGGCGCACAAAGACGTGACGCAAAGCTGTCCGCCCCGGCTTCCTCCACGAGGCAGGGAGGGGCGTCGGCGGCGGGAGGGTGGCGAGGAACTGGGGCTCAAGGTGGGACTTCTCGAAGAAAAAGAGAGTGGGAACACGGCGGCCCCGAGCGCGGTGATCCTTCTGCAGGGAGCGAGGGATGCGCACGGCCGAGGCGCCCTAGTAACTATCTTTGGCGTAACAACACGACGAGGCGGGGCCAAGGCGACCTCCTGCGCGCCACGTCGCCCCCACCTTGAAGATGTCGAAAATAAAACTTGTGAGGCCGCTTGTCCATCCCGCAGACTCGGACCTCTCGAGGAGCAGGAATGGTCCGCGCGCAGGACGGACGGGCCTCCTCTAAGGCTCGCTCCTGACGTCTTCTAGGATCCTCAGGCGTACATGGCGTTGCAGAGCCTCAGCTGGAAGTCCTTGTAGAGCAGCTTGCCGCCGAGGGGCACCCGCTGGACGAACATGTCGAGAGTCATGAGACACAGCGCCTTGCCGTTCATGAGGAAGCGCTCGGGGAAGACGCGGGGCAGCTGGTGCGCCTCGGACACGTGGTGGAGCCATCTGTGCACGTCGTCGCGGCTCCAGGTTCGGGGATCTGCAAGAGGAACACGGCGGGTTAGGCTCGGAGACACGTCGGCCGTCGACACACGCCACGCGGGTCGATAAGAGCAGCATGGAATATTAAAAAGAAAATCCATATTAACATTATTGTCTGTAAATCCACACCATGTGCGCACACACATAAATGCACAGACACACGCTCGCACACAAAGCTCCCATGCAAAGCAGCACATGCATTGGAGTACAACCGAACCAGACCTTTCAAAAGTCGAACCTCCATTGTACCTAACACGATAGTGATACTATAATTCACACCTGTAAGTATGCCACGAACGATAAGTGTCAGTCACAGAGAACAATGCACCTTATAAACAACTGGTTTGCTTTAGATAACATACTCTTTTCTCTGAAATGAATATATACATAGAAAAACAAGTAAATAAATAAATAAATATAAAATAAATAAATAAATATAGAATAAATAAATAAATATAAAATGAATAAATAAATATAAAATAAATAAATAAATATAAAATGAATAAATTAATATAAAATAGATAAATAAATATAAAATTAATAATTAAATATATATATATAATAGATAAATAGATATATAAAATAAATAAGCAAATAAAAAAGGCAAAATAAGATCACAAGCAGGGAAATCAGTACCACACATAACTTCCACATGAAGGCTCGCACACGTGACTATTAATTATGTTGAAACGAGGCAGCACCGGACACGGCACGGCGAGCTTGAAACGGCAACAATTATGTCGCTATCCATACGTGGCGCCGACAGTCACGGCTCCGCACGCACAACGCGTCCCATTTAATCGGCGGGAATCACAATCAAGCTTTCTTGGGTGCGATTTATGGCGTGGAAATTATTTCGAAGTCGCGAGGTGTAGGCGTTCGTTTGCGCGCGAGGAGGGATCGCCGCGTGCATAAATACGGGTTGTGTAAACGAATAATTGGTGGGTTTATGTTTCTGTGCATATGTTACTCCAAACGAAAATTGATTTAAATTTTTATTCCATTCACTTCGATATATATTATTTTAAGTTAGTCGTGGCCGTATTTTTTTTATGTTGGTCGTGAAAATATTTCGCTTTTTTCTGATCTGGAGACATAGAGCATGAGACACTTTCGTCCTTCCAATTTCCGCTATTGCCGGGTTACGAAAGAGAGAATAGCTTGCCGTGTCCCCAAAAATAATGTTTTGTGACCATGAGGAAACCGCAAGCAGATATGAGATTCTTTGGATAATGTTGATAAAAGAAAGAAACACAGGATCATTCCGCAGCGTTGAAAACAAAACTTGCAACTTTACATCACGTTGAATGCAATGCTTCCCTTTCTCTCTCTGTATTTTCTGTGCAATTTCGAGATACATTGTTTTGTAGCAAAGGAAATGTTTCTACGTATAAAAAAGTTCAACCGAAGAGGAGAAGGGAGAAGGCTAATAAGGATTTCTGTTAGAATATTGGCATGATGTACTGTAGTTGTGTTTTAGGTATATATATATATATATATATATATATATATATATATATATATATATATATATATATATATATATATATATATATATATATATATATATATATATATATATATATATATATATATATATATATATATATATATATATATATATATATATATATATATATATATATATATATATATATATATATATATATATATATATATATATATATATATATATATATATATATATATATATATATATATATATATATATATATATATATATATATATATATATATATATATATATATATATATATATATATATATATATATATATATATATATATATATATATATATATATATATATATATATATATATATATATATATATATATATATATATATATATATATATATATATATATATATATATATATATATATATATATATATATATATATATATATATATATATATATATATATATATATATATATATATATATATATATATATATATATATATATATATATATATATATATATATATATATATATATATATATATATATATATATATATATATATATATATATATATATATATATATATATATATATATATATATATATATATATATATATATATATATATATATATATATATATATATATATATATATATATATATATATATATATATATATATATATATATATATATATATATATATATATATATATATATATATATATATATATATATATATATATATATATATATATATATATATATATATATATATATATATATATATATATATATATATATATATATATATATATATATATATATATATATATATATATATATATATATATATATATATATATATATATATATATATATATATATATATATATATATATATATATATATATATATATATATATATATATATATATATATATATATATATATATATATATATATATATATATATATATATATATATATATATATATATATATATATATATATATATATATATATATATATATATATATATATATATATATATATATATATATATATATATATATATATATATATATATATATATATATATATATATATATATATATATATATATATATATATATATATATATATATATATATATATATATATATATATATATATATATATATATATATATATATATATATATATATATATATATATATATATATATATATATATATATATATATATATATATATATATATATATATATATATATATATATATATATATATATATATATATATATATATATATATATATATATATATATATATATATATATATATATATATATATATATATATATATATATATATATATATATATATATATATATATATATATATATATATATATATATATATATATATATATATATATATATATATATATATATATATATATATATATATATATATATATATATATATATAGGGTATGTCTATAATGGTCTGTATATGTACATGGATGTGTAATGTGTATGATTATATGTGTATACATGAAATGAGTACTGAATGAGTAATGTGTACACGTGCGTATGCATATATGACTCGAAGGTGAATTCTTCCAACTGTAAATATAAAATCGAAAATATTGAGACGGAAATTCGGGCAAGGCGGCGCAGCGTGGACGAGCCCGAAGGTGTCGGCGCCGCGGAAGGTGTGATCTCGGCCTTAGCAGTGGGGGGGGAGGGGGGAGGAAACAGGAAAAAGGGGGGCAAGGAACACGACGCCGCGGCTTTGGGGTCTGTGTTCGGCGATCATTGTAATTTCTTGTTAAAATCAAGGAAAAAAAAGGGGAAAAAATGTACCGGCGGCACCAACGAGGAGTCAGGTATCTTTCCCCCCTTCGAGTAGGGAATCGCAGGGGGAAATGGACCTTATAAACACATGAGCGGAAGGTTGAGACTCGCTTGCCACGGCCACTAAGCGCTGGTGACCACAGAGGGCCAAAGTGCCATGGGAAGGAGGGGGGCGGACGGAGGGAGGAGGGGGAGGGAGGGGGAGGGGGAAGAGAAAGAGGGAGGGCGTAAGGGTGAAGGAGGAAGTAATGGAGGGTGAAAACAATCATTCCAGTGTTGCTAGAGGGTGGGAATGAAGGAAGGGGGGGGGGGGAGGAGGAGGAGGAGGAAAGGGGGGAGGGGGGTGGAGAGAAGGTTTGACGTGGTGGGAGGGAAGGGGAAGGAGGGGGGAGGAGGGGGAAGAGGGGGGGGAGGGGTTAGAGAAGGGGTGACGCGGCGAGAGGGACGGTTGTAAACCACTATGACCGGTTGTGTGTTGCAGGTTGTGAATTGTGACACAACCTCAAGATAAAGAAAAACAACAACAACAAAAAAAACATCCGTACAGCTTTTTACCATAAACTTCACGCAAGGAGAAAGTTTATAGCGTAACCGACCCCTTGAAAAAATATGTTGCAGAGATGAATAAAATAATAAGTTGATCAGTTTTATCAGTTCTACAAGAGAGACGGATGTTGCGAAGGTTGTAGGTGGTTAATTGTGACTAAAGCTAATCGATGTTGTGGCGACTCGAGGAAGAATATTATGGGTGTTGTAGTTATAATGACGTTTGCAAAAAAATTGGGCAGAGAAGTGGCGTTGCATTTATTTATTTATTTACTGGACATTTGAAGGATACGGAGGCGGTGGGAAGGAAATATGAAATCATTGCGTGAAGGTGAAAGAGAACGAAAGAAAAAAAAGGTATAAAAAATGGGTAGATGAAGAGATAATGACTAACGGATAAGAGAGAGAGAGAGGTAGCAATAAAAGATAATACAACTTTGTGGGAAAATTAAGGAGAGAATAAAGGAAAGAGGGAGAGAGAGAGAGAGAGGGAAAAGGAGGAGGAAAGGAGGAAAGGTGTATGGATGGGTGGGAGGGGGGGGGGGGAGAAAAGAGGTGTGTGTATATGGGAAGGAAGGGAAGGGAGGGGAGTAGGGGTGAGGGGGGGAGGGTGAGAATTGACCATTGCAAGTGGAAAACTCACGAAAATCCGCCAAGGAAACGGTACACTCGGAACAGCTGCCTGACGTTCACACACACGCACCCGGCCGGGTCACCAACTTTCCCACACGCTCGCTACTGTACGTCTTCCCCCTCCCCCTCCCCCCTCCCCTTCCCCTTCCCTTCCCCCTTCCTCTGGCCCTAGCCCCCCCCCTTCCCCCTTCCTCTGGTCCTAGCCCCCTCCCCCTCCCTCTTTCCCCCCTTTCCCCTGGTCTTGGAGTCCCCCTCCCCTCCCCCCACCCTCTCCAACCTTCCCCCACCCCTACCTCGACCTGGACTTTACGGACTATACTTAAGCATGTTCTTATATCCACGGCATTGAAGGGGGGGAGGGAGAGAGGGAGAGGAGGAGGAGGGGGTGAGGGAGGGGGGACGAGAGAGGTCGCCCCGGATGTAGGTAATGGTGGGAGGCAGGCTGTCACGTGCGGACATTTCGGGCACTA